ACCAGCCATTTCATACGAAAGACACTACTTTCGTGCAAGCACCAATATAGTACTATGAACATGGTGCTGTGGTTGCAGCGACATCGAATTTCCTCATTCCTCCTTTCACTACAAGATGGAAATTGGATACTGTCCTAGGGTTAAGGAGTTGTAGTCGACGCAGTTTTCATGCAGTCAGACTGTGCTGCTTTCGATGTTGGTGGTCGTTGCTCTTTCACATGCTACTCGCATCAGCATCTACTCTTCTAGAGGTAGCTTATTATCTTTGTCGAATGATTGTAGCTGATATCAATCTTATAGTACATCCAGATGAGTGTCCAACTATTGCACCATATCAATATCCTGACAGTGCAACCTTCATGCCCTACGTGACAAGTAGCTCACCTCCTATCGCATGGAGACCCATGAAATGTGTCTCTCTCTTCAAATATGCCAGCCTGGGAGCCATTTCTCATTCCATCCAATGCCAGACATGCTGTGACAGCTGTTTAATGTCACATCCTGCTGCTTTTTGAGGGGTGATGATATCGATGACCACCTCTGCAAGAGGATATTGATGAACCTATAGACTCCTGCGGGCAGAAAACACAACACCTAAGTGGCAAGTATAATCTGTAACAGAATCTGAAGGCAGGTTCTTAGCGAGTCTAGTCGTGCACCTCCATGCGGTGACTATAGGTCCTAAGATCGTAGCTTATTCAAGGCTACTGGGTGTTATGCTCTCGAATAATAGCTTTGCAAAGCAAAGTCGATGTGCGAATCACTTTAAGAAGGGAAGGAAGTTGCAACTGTGGGTGTATACTGAGTGGGGCAGGCTATATGCTGTGTGCACCTGGTGTGTGTCGAAATCCTGGCTACAGATTCAGTGGGAAGACTCTCTATACGAATCTATGAAGCTCTTGCTCTATGTGCAAGCAAGGCTTTGTCCAAGGTGATGTACGTGCAAGCAAGATGATGTTCTCGAACTTATAAAGCTCAAGAAGATTCTAATATCAAGCAAGTCAGTACCAATCTTGAGTCGAACTTAACTGGATGAGCTTCGCGAACCTCCCCTGCTATAGGAAAGGTAGCTAAGGTCCCAAGGTGTCTAACTCAATGAGAGTTAAGTGGTGTCGTTTCCTAGGCTTGGAAACAGTAGTAGTAAGTGTTAGTGGCTAAAGGCTTCAATCCTAGCTGCGGATTGCTCTTTGAAGCGCACAGGTATGTTCTCGAACTTAAATTGATGAGAATGCCATGCAAGAGTAACCAATAAAGGTTTCCTGGCGAGGTTTTTGAAGCAGAGGAAAGCTTCGCAAAGTTATAAGTGACTTTTAGTGAATATTGGTTCACTAAGTGTTATTTCTCCGATGGGCAGCAGAGAATTACAACTTCGAGAAGGTATATCGGATGTAGGAGGTGTAGAAGGCAAGGAACAAGTTCGAGGACTTTCTCTGAAGCTTGTAGCCTAATGTCTCCTCTCTGGTCTCTTTTTGGTCTCTCTAATTCGACTTTCTACTTATACTACTGAGGAAATACTTGTATGTAAGCTACATTTGTCCTTGCCTGGTTGATTCGCAACACAAGCGAACTATTAATCATCCAATGAAGTATTATTAGCCTTTCCTTACTACTGCTGTGTTGAAGACAGTCAGCAATCAGTCAGCAGCTGTGAACTTCCAACTGTGCATTGCTGTGCATAGCATGTGCAAGTAACTGTGCATTACTGAGCAAAGCTGATGCTGCGCGAACCTTCTGAGTAATTCTGGGTGTTTCTAAGCCTCCTTGCTTCGTGAAGCAAAAAGCCTTGGTAATATCTTGATTGCTGCTGACTGTAGCAATGAATAAGTTCGCTAACTTTGTCATTTAACTTGTGTAATAGTTGCGCAGCCATTCCAATTGATCTGGCATAGCCATAGGCTATTTCTGGAGTGCCTTTTAAATAGGAGTGATGATCAAGGTGCCTGCAGATCATGGTGCCTGCGGAGCATTGCTGTGCCTTGATATGAAGTTCAAAGGAGTGGAGTATCACTAGATCTTTACAGATCCACGAATTTATGAGCACACAGAGCTGTGAGGCTCATCAACATATTTACAGTATACCAAAGTATCTCGACAATGTCAGCAACTGTAATACACTCTCAGTCACCCGACCTCTGGTTGACCACCAGCCATAGATGTTTGGGGTGGATGGTGATGTGCTCGGTAATCATACAGAGATAGCTAGAATCTAAATATATACTGAGTGTAACTCGTATATACTAAACCCTAAGCAATTCTTGCGCTCACAATCACCAAATATATGAGTTCAGGCGTTTTGAGATCGATAGAAGACCTCTGCAAACTGAATAGTCTAAACTTGTCCACAAATATTCAACTCAAAGACGAAAACAATGAGGATATTCAAGGAAATCTGACTTCAACAAAGCAGATATACAATGTGTGTGTGGTCTAGTGGTATAATCAAGCGAACTTTGTCTGTTAGAACGCTGAATAGACTTCAAAACTCGAAGTTAGATGGCTCTTTGCCTTGATCTTCCAGTTTACTGACTGATATATGGGCACACTGGCCTCTGTCTTTAGCTCACTGGCTTATATTGGCTGCGATGCCTTCACTTCAAGCTTCGTTCTGAATATACAACGGTCTCTGCGACTCGCGATGTTGTTACAATCAAATATATGCTTTATATTCTCTAGTGGACTTAGCGATATGCTCTTTGTCCAAGACTCGACTTAATACCTCTTAATTCAACCTTAGCTTCTGCGCTATATGGTCAAACTGCAGGGTGGCGAAGCCTCCCGTATATTCGTATGTACAGTCCTTTTATACTACTACTGGTCCATGCTACCTCGGCTATTTAGTCATATACTATAGTGTAAGTTACTACCGGTCACAGGAAGCCCGAAGTACCCTTCTGCCATGCTATGCAACCTGGTCTAGCTAGCTGTTTCTAATGTTCTAGGCCGATACAGTCGGTTACCCGCCTCGCAGTCGGAATGCTGTGTATCTCGCCATATGGGATAACTTAGTTACCCGCACGTTGCCTGGTTTCAGGCTGATTCACGATTAAGGGCAACTATAAGCTTTCTAGAACTTGTCTGATGCAACATGATCGGTCGGAATATTTCCGGAAGGTCGATCGGTAGATAGTATAGTCTCATCATTGATGCGAACCTCATGGTCCTTCAGGGCTATATCTTTCTCTAAGGTAATTCCGGTAGCGTCGGCTGTCCCATAATGGCCTTTAGCTCTGCCTGCTATCACGACTATTCACAGTTTCATCTGGTATATCTACTCCTTGTTTAATGGCTAATTCGCGACTAGAACCGTCATGACGTATATATTAGGCTGGTAGGTCCGACTCATAGCGATATCTTTCCTAAGTCCTAATGCCACTTAGTATATTCCATTGTGCGAAGCAATAGCTTTAGCTAGCAATCCGGAGGCTCAATCCTAGCTCTCAATATTCAAGTACAGTATAGATTGGATAAGTATATAGTATACAAATTGCAAAATCTACGGGTGGATACGTTCCATGCGTATCAACGGCGACTAGTGATAGAAGAGACAGGCATATTGCCACTTCATTCACGTAGTCTTTATGACCAACAACATGCATGCTTGATAGACTGTGACTAAAGTCGAGTTCCATGAACATCTCTCCTCTGCTTGACCGTAACAGTGGATGTGCCACTGTCATGATATCGCTCTCAGTTTGGGACAGCAACAGGATGTGATGACGATGGGGTTTACCAAGGGCGACATGATATTTTCATGTACAGATTCCCTATATGACACGTTGGGACTTAATATGCCATAGCAGTGAAAATAGACCATTGTAGTCAGCTGTTTGTCACCATAGATAGGAATAGCGCTAGATGCCCTTGACAGGGTGTAGAATGCTGTCGCAAGTGATGAATGCAAGTCTGTCAGCTCTGCACCCCGCTGCACCATCATCGCCACCACGTTTTCTTGTTGGACAGGCATCATCTTCGACCTGGTGTTATTCATGGAGCAGAATGCAACAGAAGAAGGGCTTACGGACGAATAGAGGCTTTGGTTTGTTTGAATGTGTGAATATAGGTGGGAAGGATGCGGGGAAGGATGAGAGCTGGTGATGGTAGTGGTTTGAGGGAAAGTTGTCAGAGCCTGAGAAAGGATGAGCCTCCTTCATATATGGTATGTTCCCCTCTAGATATTGAATGTCAACCTAACCATGCTTCCCTTTGGGTTAAGGTTTCGTCGACATCAAATTTGGCCGGAGGTGGGTGAGTCCATATTAGTCTTGACCTCTTGAGTCTCTTGCTTACTGACCTGATGTTTTCATAGGCAAGGAGTCTTTCCCTGGACTGTGGACTGTTGTCATATGTCAAGGATCCATCCTTGCTGTTTCCTCTCTGCACCAATTCTTTAACCTTGACCATGACTTATGTGCAGGCTATGAAACCACCGTTATCATGTGAAATATATATTGGTTTATCATCTTATTATATTGTTATTTCTTACCAAGTCCATGAAACCAACGTGTAGTGCACACATTTGATTGCTTCGACTATTCGTTCCATGATCAGGCGTGGTACCGTTGATGGTGCTAAAGCAGATCAGAGTGGTGACCGCTTCTTGGTTCAGCCTAAAGGACTACTTTCTAAGTTCTTTCCAATACTTATAAAGAAATACCTACTAGAATGTTGATAATCTGTCACAATGTTCATGAAACAGTCAATTACAGGAGGGTTCACAACCCTCCTACAGCGATGCAGAATGATTGAATGTCTGGCAAAGATGAAGCAGTTGTTTACAACCAAACTGTTGTTGGAGTTTTTTCTCTATTCGATCTGAGCCTACCTCGGGATTCCATCGCACCTCTCCACGTCCTTAGGATTTCGGCAAACAACGGTACCATCAGTTTCAATGCACAGCATGCAGGACAAAAGTGATGTCACGGTGGGGTGAGGCATTCAAGGAAGAAATCCAAGGTCTGTGCATTCCTGCCCAGATAATATACGCTAAAAAAATGTACGTTGCCCGCCTAGCTCAATCGGATAGAGCATCAGACTTTTATCTAGGCGGATTGATCTGAAGGCTGCGAGTTCGACCCTCGCGGTGGGCTATTGATGATATCTTTTTTGCGCTTTCTTCGTTCTGTATCTTCGGAAACTCCTCAGGAATCAGAATCCGCTAATCTGTCATGGATTCCTCAGGAGTTTCAATATCTTGAGTCTGAACGATTGTAATGAAATGTAGCCTCCAAAGAGACGGGCAAGAGCAGATTTGTGAAAGAAGGGATGAAGGCCATGACCTTGACCAATGGTTGGAGTAGAACTACCAAGGTTGGCTAGCCTTAGTCACCATTGGCTCCGTAGATCCGAGTATAGCTTGGCAACACAAACCAATAAACGAACCTAGAGGAGAGTGCTGCCTGAACCCTTTACATTCAAAACAGGACTGTCCAATTCAGGAATTAGTCGACAATGCGAGTTTGGTAATATGAGCTCTTAAGGATTCTCTTCAACAAGCTGGTACAGGCAAGGCAACGCCAAGTCCGTAGAATGCTCCCTAAAAAAACGAGGACTTTCTGGTGGTCCTGCAGAGAGCAGGGTAACGCAACCGAAATACATACATACATAAATGAAAATTTCTTTCCTTTGAGCCCTTTGTTCAGAAAGCAAACATGCAAATTGGTATTTTTTGCGTCGGTATATACAGTGAGTGTTGCAAATGGAAACGAAGGCTGTATACAAAAGAATGTCCAGAAATAAATAGGGGAACACACAAGAAAACACGATAACGACAGCGAAAACAGAAAACATACATAAGCGACTAAACAGCACCTGGAGGTGATGGGACATCGAAGCCTAATCTCTTCCAATCCCTCGCAACGAAATTGACACCCTTGAGATCTTCTAACCACACACCTCGACCTCCACAGCTATCCCAGACCGCTCGCCAGAACAACATCATGTCAAGGTCAGGTTCGAGCCCCTTCCGAACCTTCAATAACCCTGGTCCCATGTCCCTGACATATCGCAGGGAGGGAAACGCATCACGCCTGAGTAGGCTCCGCATCTGCTCAATCAGCAACCAATTGCCTCTCCCGATGTCACGGACCCCAATAAGCTGCAGCCGCGGATGAGACGGAAGGAGCACATGTGGCGCAATCCAATCTGGGCTCTCCCAATTCCACTCGGCATCTGCGGAGCAGATGAATTCGGTCATGTTCGGGAGGAGGGATGCAAGACTTGGCCGCCCTATGACTGGACGGGTGGGAGTGATGTAGTGCTCTTCAAGAATGTTGGACGAGGAATGACCAAGCTCAAGTTGGTTGATCTTGGCACCATGGGCAGAGAAGAAGGCAAAGAAGCCGGGGGAGGAGTAGCTGAAATCAGGTGAGATTAACGAGAGATTACAGAGCGACGGAAGGGTCCAGGTCGAAAGAAGGTCGAAAGTGTTCGAGCAGAGGGATGTCTTTAGTGTCTGTAGCTGGGGAAGATGAAACATCTGGGTGGGAGACACGGAAGGGGGCGAGGATACAGTAAATGAGGAACGCATAGGAGCATGGAAGTGTAACTCGAGGAAAGTGAGATTGTGGAGAACAGAAAAGAGGGGCATGGTAGGAGTCGGAGAAGCTTCGTAAGAGGTCCATGATAGACGACGGAGGTTGGTTGGTAAGGATTGGAAGAGGTCGTCGGGGGTGCATGTCTCCTCCAGAGGAGAGTTGACGGAAAAGAGAGTGAGGCGAATGGATCGATGATCAGAGTAGATGGCAAGATCGGGGGAGGCGTCGAGGATAGTACGCAGATGCGACGGGTTGCACTTGTCCAATGCCATGGTCTCGACGTGAAGTCTCCTGATCCAACGACCGTGGCCCTTGCCCTCTGGCGTTTCCAAGGTACGAGCGAGGAGTCGGGCGTGACCGGCACGATTGACCCAGATGAACTCGTACAGGAACTCTGTCGCCCACTCGTTCCACTGCTTGCTGACCCTGCATAGAGCTAGTTTTTGTTGCATTGTTGCGTAATATGTAGCCAGTCGCAACCGAGTGACATGAGGGGGATCCAAAAATGAAACAGGTCGTGAAGTGTCGAGGGGGTCAGGGTATGAACAGGTCGCAAATCGGATGACAAGCATCCATATTTCCGGCGGAAGTTCGGGGCGTGGTGTCGTACGAGTTACGAGGCATTCAATTGGTTGGAGAGTTGAAGGCTGGTGTTGTTTTTTCCGCTGTACGGCACCACGCAAGACAAAACCCAAGGAAGACATTGTAGCTGCTGCAACGGCAGGGTGAGAAAAGGCCCAGATCTAGAGGTAAAGTGTTCCTTACGAGGAAATGACAGATGAAAGATGGGATCACGGCTCGGAAGGAGGGTGTCTGATATCTTGTTGAGGCTGATACAGATGTGATGAGAAGAAAACGAGAAATCGCTGCTCGATGTTGTCAATCAAGACAGAAAAGTGGTAGAGATAAAGAGGGACATACGGTGACGACGGTATACGGGACGTTGAACTGATGGCCCACAACAAGAAAAGTTGGTTGAAGGGAACAGAAATCGCAGAGAGAAAGGCAAGGACGCTGCCGGATACAACGGAGACGCTACGTGAGAGAATCAGCGCGTACACCATGGTAGAAGATGGAACATACAGGAAACAGTGACACTTGCGGAGGCCTGTAGCGACGAGCTCGCTAAAAAAAAGAGGTAGAATCAGGTTGTTCTGGACGCTGTGCTCGCTGTGGAGGATGATGAGCTCGCTGTATGCAGGGGGACGCGGTGGTGGTTCGCTAGGAAGAAGGGAATCGGGAGTTTTGGGGCCGAGAGATTTTCCCACGTCTGCGGTCACCACGCGGCGTTTGCCCCGAAAGGACTTAGATAATCACCCTCGTGGCTGTCCGTTTTCGTATACTTCCGGTCCCCCCATGTATAGCTCTTAAGAATTCTGAATGCTCCCGGTTCTCTCTGTGCTTCCTAGCCTGCTTGAGTTCTGGTCAATGAGCCTCTATTCCCCCCTCCCTCCCCTCCCTCTCTCAGCCAAGTCCTAGATCGTTTTTGGAGACTGAGCGCCTAAAAGCATGGAGCCACGACTAAACTTCTGATACAACTCTGATATTAGAAGGTTCTTTTTGCCCACCTTGGGCGCCTTGGTGGACGGGGACCTAATGGTACCATGATGATGTTTATGCTCTTATCTTTTTCTTCGCCGATTATTCACCTACCGAAACGACTCACGAGGCTACAGAACATACAATACATTTTTCTAAAACCATCTACGAGTTTCGGGAACTTTCCGACATCATCATTCAGATGGGGTTGAAATCCAGCTCCTCATCAATTCGAGCGGGAGCTGCCCTGCATATGGATCCGATTACATCGCTGAACATGGAGAGATTTCCCACCGCAATTAGGAACGGGTACCTTATGTGGTATATCAACTTTATAATTACCTCGATCTTGCCATACCTCTCGTAAGACATTCACAGGCCTTCGCCCTCGCTGCCAACTCAGATTCCTGAGTTGAATGGGAGTTGACACGACGCTGTAATGTCTAACGGCAGCTTGTGCCGTTTCGACAGCGTGTACCAAAAGCCTGTTCGCATATCGATAAACCGTAGCGATATACCAGTTCAATTACCTTCGATGATATGGTTTATGGAGGCCAGTCTCGCAAAAAAAAAAAAAAAGCTGACAAAACAACCTGGGGCCTAGGAATTTGAATCATCCGGCCTCACGACTTCGTCGTAACGTAAAAAGGCAAGGCGTCGCACAGAAGATAGTTTCTTGCTTTCACTAACATTAAAGAGGAAGAATTAGCAGTACCGGCCGTCATCTTCGCTCCGCTATGACAATAGGGCCGACGATATACTTGCGTGGTTGATGCTGTACCACGTTTCCTCAGAACGAACAGTAGCAAATATGGAATCTTCGCTTTCGAATGCGAAACAAGCATATTGTTATTCAAGAATTCTGGGGTTGAATGTTGATGGACGTTAGTGGACATCTCTCCGAGTCCGGAGTTCAGAGAACCTCAACCGCCTAGGAAGAACATTGAAATATACATATGCGGAGAGGACGGACGATCCCAATACGACGATAAATGGAATTACAAGACTTCTCCACGGTCCAGCAGCCTGATGAACACACCTCGGTCGAATCTGCCCCGTGGGGGCCTACGGGAGCTTCTCTGAAGACCGCACCAATAATAACAAGGATATAATTGGCGCAGTGCCGACGAGGCCGAATGATAGCGGCTTTCAATGAAGACACTAGCACCATGGAGAGGGATACGTGTACATGCAGAGCATGCTTAGCTCAGTCGATGTATTGAATGAAAAGGTAAAACGAGTAAAAAGCCGGACCAGTGGCGCATCATTCCGACGGTCCGACTGTCACTGATCGTGGACCAACAACGTCCGGAAACTGCCGGATAACATTTGCCTTCGGCTGCGACGTTGAACGTTCCATGGCTAACCGAGTTCCGTTCTCAGTGCAAGCTCTGTCCGCCTAATTCGAGGACAAAATTGACGTTGTCTTCAAAAAACCGATGGGGCCATAGTATGACGATAAAAATATTATATTATATTATGGTCCCACCATTCGCACAGATGAGCCGGCTTATTATTTCTCCGAGCTTCCTTATTAATTCAGTGGTTGCTTCCTAGATGAAGCTGAAGGCTTGGCCATTACCGCCAGACCTTGAGCTTGAGACCCAACGATAGCCCGGTAATGCCGCACAAAAAGGTGACAGTCCTTAAGCAACCTGTATGGACAAGAAAGCGATATTGAAGCTAAGACACAAAATTAAAAGCTTCGACTCAGAGGTATAATTACTAGATTTATTGCGCCATTTGGTTTCCTCAGGCTTCTGGCGCGGAGGAATGACAGGAATGTAAAACTCATTTGGTCAGTTCAACAGCCGATGTTAGTCCCCTTCAACTCCCTTCTCTCACGCTTCTGATAATAGGCTCAAATAAACGATCTAGAGGCAAACTTACACTATTTCAGTTACAAAAGGCTGATGACAAGAAATCGCTCGAGGTTTGAACGCCGACCAGGACTACCCTTTGATGTTCGGGAGACTAATTTCTTATTCTAGCGCAATGTTCACCATGCTAAATTC